TCAATTATTCTATTAATTTATAATCATTACCATGTTGATTCCTTAATAAAAAAAATTAATCGCATTTAAGTGTAAACGAGCTATATTATTAGTCTTAATTCATCGAATATGTTTTTCTTATTTTCTTAAATATTATTATTTTTATATATATATATATGTATATATTCATTAATAATCATTGTAAAGTGCAAACAGTTGATTTTGACATAGGAAAATGTGAATGAAAGGAAATCGGATGGTGTCTCTTATTAGGAAATCTTTTTACAACCTTATGAATCGTGTTCATATCCACTGTATCTCCAATTTCAGCAATAATAATCGGCTTATGAAAATCTTGATCATTTTTCGATAATCGTACACCTAAAACTTGTGCGGCCAAACTTACGATACACAAGGAAAGCTAAAAAAAAGAAACATATAAAAAATTTTCATTTGAATGACGCGCTAAAATAAAAGGTAACAGATATTGATATTTGGCGCGCAAATTTAAAATACATTAAAACATAATTACCGATTCGCCAGTTCTCGCAGACATATCATAATATGGAAATCCATTTTCTGCTGCATAACGATGTGATTTATCTTTTTTAACAGTTCTTTGATGTTCCATATCACATTTATTACCGACCAATGCCATTAATGGTGGTTCTTCAATATTGTCGTTCATTCCACGTATCTTATTGGCCCATTCGTCGAGAATTTCAAAACTCGTAATGTTCGTAATATCATATACCAAAAGGACGATCTAAATTTAATGAAATAAATAGAGTTTAATTATTTCAATAAGAAAATAATAATATAATAATTAAATTATTTATTAATATTTAATAAGTTCTTACGTTAGCTGCAAACACGTATTTGTCCAACATATTACCATGAAGAGCGAGACCTCCGACGTCCCAAAGGTGTAGGTTAACATTTTTGTAAGAACCAACGGTAATATTTTTTAAAAAGAAATCAATGCCGGCCGTTGGTGTGTATTGTCTCGTAAATTCGTTGGTGCAAAACTTCAAGGCGATGCTCGTCTAAAAAGGGATCTTTGAAATTCAATTATCGAGAATAAAATATTGTATCGTTCAATTATTTATAATTGTCAATTATAAAAATTAATTCTTGATCGTTGCGAAAGAATATAACGTGATAAATTCAAGATTAAATTTCGAACTTTTATTAACGAGAGATAAGAAAACAAAAATAATAACAAGAAAAGAAAATATATAATTAGGAAGGATCATTGAATTTTCAATTATCGAGATTAGAATATTAAATATCGTATAATTATTAATATCATTAATTTTCCGCGGGAAATTATGAAAAATTATTTCTTAATCGTTGTAATCATTCGCATGGGAAAATTCCAAAATGAGATTAGTATTTCTAATAAACGAGATAATAAAATAAGAAAAGAATAAATTAAAATTTCTTCTATCTTTTAAAATAAAATAAAAAAAAAAAATAATAAATTAAAATTTCATTTAAAACTGTATTACCCATCGATAATTCTTATTCGTTTGACCCGGGAAATATAAAATTCAATTCGAATAAATATATACATCGAACGAGATAAAAGATAACGTGAATCAATTTTATATCTATGATTATCACGTACCTTAGAATAATCAATAATTTATTCATTTATATTAAGGAATTTCGTGTGTGAACTGCATTACCGATCAATAAATTCATATTTATCTCGATCAATGAAAGGAATGCCACAAGTTGTTTAATATTACATGCAAGTGTTATTAACGACATGAAAAAGCTCATGAACGTTAAGGTTTTATCGATTGGAGCAATTACATTACCACATTTTATTTTATTTTATTAAACATTTTCCAACATAATTTTATTGAGAATTTTATCGAGAATTTTATTAAGTAAATAATAAAAAATTTGAACATATAAAATCGTATAAAAAAAAAAAAATAATAATAATAATAAATAAAATAAATAAATAAGGGGAGAAAAAAATATCTAAATCTTTTTTTCTTATTTTATTAAAATATAAATAAAAATAATATATATATATTATTATTATTATTATTATTATTATTATTATTATTATTATTATTATTATTATTATTGTTATTATTTTTTTCGTTTTTTTTTTCTTTTTCTTTTATATATATCTACATATATGTATATATATAAAAATGAAAACTTTGAGAAACTTACTTTTCCAGAGCCGGAATCACCGAGAAGAACAATTTTTAGTCGCCTCTCGGCAAGATCCTCTTCGATGTCGGACATAGATTGAATTAGATTGAGTTAAAACGAAAATTAAGTTGGTTAATACGATTTTCGAATTCATAGGAAAAAAAAAGAAAAGAAGAAGAAGAAGAAAGAAAAGAAGAAATATACGAACGATATGAAAGTATGGCGTCGGACTAATAAACGCGTTAACGAAGGCGTTGCTCGTGTCCGTTCGTATGAAAGTCGCCAATGAAAATCGAACGGGTCGACCGAGTGGCCAGTACGCGCCGTCGATGTCGACGTCGACGTTGTGTCGTCCTTTCCTGGTATTCACCGCTGCCCGGTATGAATAAATTAACAAAAAATCGATAACTAAGCACTACCTATGGTATAACCGTGCATGTTTTACATCGACGTAGATTCTTTTTTTTTATTTTTATTCTATTTTTTAAAATTTTTTTTTTTTTTTTTTTTTTTTTTTTTTTTATTTATTTTTCTCTTCTTTCAAATCCACGGGTTATAAATGGATTTCCATATATTTTTCATTATATTAAGTTAAACGATAATGTTCACACGAAATTTTTTTCTTTTGTAATAAACAATTTTTTGATTGTTTTTTTTCTTCATTTTTTTTTTGATTTTTTGTGGGATTTTTTTTTTTTTTTAGCAGCACTTCTTTTTATGAAATATTACAATAAGCATAAGATATGTATTAAACGATCGTTATTGGTCAGTAAGTAAAATGGGGGCCAGCAATGTATTCTTTTTTCCTTTTTTTTTTTCTTTTCTTTTCCTTTTCTAAATTTCTAATTATAAATCATCATAGAAAGTTGAGTCTCAAGAAGTTTTCTCGTATTCATGAATAATAAAATAAATCGAATTTTTAATATAATCAATTATTATTATCATTGTTATTATAATTAATATTATACAATAATTAATAATAATCGATTGTCACTGATAAGAATTCTTTGCATACCTGAAAACTCAAAATGTTTTCTAACTGGTGATTGTTAAATAGATTAAAAAAAAAAAAAAAGATTTATTAATTATCACGATGATCGAGAGATCAAGATTATTATACGATATCTAAACTTTGTATTTTTTCTTTGTCAACCGAGAACAATCAAAATGATTATCAACACACGTAATGTGGTTCCAACCAAGTCGAATAAATTGGATCTGTAAATGTGTTTGAAAAGTGTTATTTATTGTCGACAAAATCTTATTTCTGAGAGATCAAAGATAATTTGATTTTACGATGGCTCTTAGATCAATATCTACGAAATCTTTTTCGTTTATAGAAATTAAAACGACCTTAGAACGTCTAAGTCGATAAAGATGAAAGAGAGATAAAATTATCTTATTAAAGGTGAAAGGTAAACTGTGATATCGTGACCCTGATCATGCTCGTTATTGGTCAGGTCATTTTAATTTTTTAACGAACGTAGTCTGATCAAAGGATTTCGTTCGTAGGATTTTGTTTAGGAAAGGTGAGAATGGGGGAGTTGAAACGTGAAGAAGACGGGGATGATATAAAATATCACTTGGATCAATGGAATAATTTGATAGTTATAGGCGATTTTAGTATTAAAACATTTTTTTTTTTTTTTTATCGCGACAAGGTAGATGATAAGGATCATTTTCCTGGTGGTTGAGGGGAGGGAGAGAAGGAGGAAGACTATACGTGTTCCGATTCGTGGTTTATCATCCTAGTTCCTTTTTGCCCTGATAAATTACTATGTAATTTACCAGACTGTTCGAATATTTATTATGTACGACAAATATTCGAGAAACTTATAACACCTGTGTACGATACACCTGTGTAAGATAAACAATTTATCTTTATAAAAAATAATGTAAATATCTATTAAAGATAAAAAAAGAAAAAAAAAGAAAAAAAAAGAAAAAAAAAAGAAAAAAAAAAGGAAAAAAAAAAGAATTTATGTATATACATTACAATATGGTATAATAATTTATTATTGATTATTAGTAATAAAAATGATATTATTCAATTGTTTTTTTTTATAAAGGAATTATAAAGTTGAAATCTAAGGTTCAGGAAATTAGTTTATTGAATTAGCTGAATGTTTTTGTAAAAAAAAAAAAAAAAAAAAACTGACTTTATACGTGTGTAACGAATCAATAATTGTATATTTTTGTTATCACACAGTCAACGACTTTTTATGTATCAATGAACTTTTATCTAGATGCTTGTGGTAATAATAATAATAATAATAATAATAATAATAATAATAATAATAATAATAATAATAATAATAACAATAAATGAAAAGATTTTAATTGTTTGTTGATAAAAACCACACACAAATACGATACGATAACAGTATCATTTATTTATCTGATGTTAGGCAATGTTAAACTTGTGATAGTGATAATAATGATCGTGGTGATAACGATCATGATAACAATGATGATAATAGTCTTATAGAAACAAGTACATACTGACTAAATATCATACATAGAAAGTTTAAGAACTCCTAAACGAATCAAAAGATGTAAAATATATTTATATGTTGATTACTTTGAAAATTAGATTATTAATGTTATTGTTGTTGTTGTTGTTGTTTTCACGATGAAAAGATTAAATTTATGCTAAATTTATATTCACTCTTAATGCCTTTACTTATTCTGTTGATTGTATTGCCAAAGAATTAATGTAACATATATAATAATTGATGATGACAAAATATTATAATTGTGGAAAAGGTCGACATTAATATCATGATTATTAGAAACAAATGGATTACAAAGAATGTTTTTTTATTTATTTCAAGCACTGTTTCTTACCTTTGTAATGTATAAAAATATTTCAAAATGACACTAAGAACTACTATCTTTGAACATTAACAGTTCCATTGAATGCTTATTTTAGAAAACCTAAAGAAATTATTGTAATTAGCAGAACAAGCAATGAATATAATATGTATTAGAATAATTGTTACTATTGATTTAATTCTTATCTAATGATCGTTTGATTTACTCACAAAAAAATAATTACTATTCTTCAGTCTTTTTTGTGTTTCTCACATCGAAACAGATGCGCTAAATGGCTTGATTGGACTTGAGAAATATAGTATTTTTCAATTCAATTCAATACTAATCTCATGTTTTTTCAATCTTCATAAAAATAATCGTCATTGACGATGATATACTAAGAGACATTTATTATTAAGTAGACCAATCCTTTAACGCCAAAACTACATCAACAGACATTGGAAAATGCTGTCATAATAAAGGTTTTGATATTGTGAACAATTGTCGTATACGATTCACAATTATCCACGTAAATTCTTTAGAAATCTGTAATATTTTGTCGCCATTTGATTTTCGTACAGTGCTACAAAAAAAAATTTAATATTATTTAATATTCATAGATTTCATGAATAGAAATTTGGTGTGATTCAATGATTGTATAATCAATGAAATCATACATTAGAAAAATTTCCTTAAATATTTATAAAATCTAATAAAATGACTTTTTAAAATTCGTCAATAAATATTTCTTGAAAATATAATATCTCATAGATTTTATTATTTGTAATATATTTAAATTAATAATAAATTTTTAGAAATAACATATATGTATATATATATGTATATATTATTTCAAATCTTCGTCACATGAATCTTGAAAAATAATTTATTTTAATAATTAATTATATTTCTTTTTTATAAAAGAAATTCATTATACCTTTTTGAATTGTCTCTTTACATTTCCAACTATCGCTCTTTGAATTGGCAATAAAATTTATTTCAAATTTTTCTATCGTAGATGTCATATTTTCTAGATTTTTATCGTCTACAATCTTTGATTCTTTTTGATTAAGAAAATTAACGAAAATAAATTTTCTTTTTTTCAAAAATTAAATACCAATTCTTCTTCTACGAAAATTCGCGAGCAGACTTTTTTTTCTATAATTTCTTAGGAAAGCAAATGTTTCTTAATTTTCTGACTCTTGAAAAGTATGAGATAATAAAGAAGCTGTTAAGAGATTCAAGGAATACGACTTTATCATAAAACTCTCATCAGATTTTTGTCCCATGTTAATCTAAATCTCATACTCGACTGATTCTTTCTGTTCCTCAATGCCAATTGTCAAGAATTATTCTCTAGAGAGGTAAAACAATTATATCAAACTTTACTCTTGAAAATACAGGATAATTCAAAATCGAACAGCTAAATAAAGGAAAGAAAGAAAAAAAAAAAGAAAAAAAATATCAATATTATAAATAACAATCTCTTCGATTAATTTGATTCATAGATTATAATAAATATAAAATATTAATAACATTGTTATAACTTTAAAATGAGAACAAATTTATTTTACCTTTATATATCATCGAGCCTGTCAGTTGGTTTGATTATCTGAACGATAATTGAATGAAAGAAATTTTTCCAATTTCTGAAACATTTCAAATAAATTAATATAAATTAATAATAAATTCTGATTAATTTGGTTATGTAATAATTGATTTGTATATAAATAACATTTTTTTTTAGTAAAATAGATGACAATAACAAAAAGTATACTTACATTTTTCTCCTTTTATTTCTGTCTGTTCGTAATTTATGACTTTTTGTTGTTAAATCGCCTTATGTCACATTTTTAAGATATATAAATATAAAAATAGAGATATATAACAATAGAAAAAAGATTAAACTTAATAAAAATAATGCGTTGATAAAAAAAAATAATTACTTCGTTTTTACGTGACGAATAATAAATAAGAAGCAATGTATATTTGATCTATTCTCTCTCTCTTTTTTTTTTTCTTTCTTTCTCTTTCTCTCTCTCTCTCTCTCTCTCTCTATTTTTCTTTCATGTGGAATATCAAATATGAAACGAAGTAAAATGGGACAAAAATATGACGTATCACACAGTTCGTGTTTTTATAGAAATAGCTTCATCATTATTGGTCTATTGGATAAGTCTACGTTCATTGGCTGATTCTCTATTCAAACAGAATTCGACCAATCACGTTACTATACACAAATCTCATTGATGGAAGATCTTGTCAAATGCAAGCTATTCCGTATAAATTCATAGATAAGGATAAACATGCGAGAATAACCTTTTATAAAAATGATTAATAAATAAACTTTATATATTTATATATATAAAGTAAAGGTTTTCATTTAAATTATTAAATTGTGTAGATTAAAATATTAAGTAAACGTTATATAATATTATATAATAATGATCCTCGTATAATGTACAATAATGTAAAATCAATTCTTTTACAATTAATTTTGTAATAAACGTTTTTTCTCGTCAAGAACTTCTACATAAATACATGCACACATGCATACATCATACATACATACATACATACATGCATACATGCATACATATACACATGCGTACATACATATGTTTTAACTTTTTTTTTTTTTAGTTTTTAATGAATAAAGTATATATTTTTTGTTTATATTTTTATAAAGGATAAAATGATAAAATCAATCACGATATATTCCCGTTCTATTTATTTGATTTCAAAATATATTTCAAACTTCAAAGAATTTTACTCCGTCATTTTTCTTTATATATATATATATATATATATATATACATAGCTGCGTAATTATTTATTGAAAAAAGGAAAAAATAAAATAAAATAAAATATATATATATATATAAATATTCGCAATCTATAATTGATTATTTTATGCTCCTAATAAACGACGAATATTATTGTCCCCAATAATTCGAAGTGCAATAATTAGTATTGTATCGATTGCCAGAATGCCGGTTACTTCGTTTCGATGATAATAATGAGCCATATTATATTGTATACCACATCGGTAACCACGGAAAATCGATTGTCCTGGATATAATTGAGCGTTGCTCGTATCTAAAAAAAAAAAAAAAAACGAAAGAAAAAAAACAACAAAAAAACAAAAAACAATAAGAAAAGATGTAATATATTATTCCATGAGATCTCAATTCTCTGGTTTCTTATTGATATTAAAGATAAAGGGAAAAAAATAATTGATTGATTAGTTGTTTGAATGAAAAAAAAAAAGAAAAAGAAAAATAAATAAATAATTTTATTTTATGTACTATATATGTCTGTATTGTATGTATATGTATTATATATTATAACTACTATAATATAAACCGGATGGGCGAAAAATTTTTAAATGATTTTAAAAATCAATTACTATTTTTCAAGACTTTTTCAAACTACAGAAAACCTAAGAACTTTTGAGATCCATTCTGTATAATACTTTATACAATAGATTTTTTAATTTCTAATTTTATAATATCATTTGTACGAATTATTTACAAAGATCGATAACGTGATTGTAAAGAGAGAAAAAAAAGAAGAAAAAAAAAAAAGAAAAAAGAAAAAAAAAATAAAAGAACTCATTTAAACGACAAAAGTGTATATTTATATAAATTCTTATATATCGTTTACCTTTGTAAATATCGTCTAATTTCGAAAATCCATTAGCGTGAAATCATTAGCGTGAAACCATTATTGTGTATACGTCACGTTTGACATCAATTAAAAATCAAATCTTTGTAATTTTGTAATAAATAATAATTTGACACTCTGCAACATGTCGTCGTTCGTACGACTGTCAGTCTATCGGCACGTTCGAAATTAGCTTTAACGATCTCGTAATATCTTCCATCGCTGAAAGGAATATATTTCATATATATATATTTATATATATATATATATATATATATATATATATATATATATTTATTTTTTACTATCATTATTTTTTATTTTATTTCGTTTTTATTTTATTATGTATTTGATATACCTACCTCAAAACCAAACACTTAAGTTTGATACACTTAACGCGTAAAATGTCAATGGCTTTTTGACTTTTATCGGAAAATCTTAAATTTTCTGGATCCCAACGTAACTCGAGTCGTTCCAAATTAGGAGAATTATTAGCGATTCCATCCATTAGCTGATCTACATGAATATTAACGCCAAGTCTCTCTTGGGTACCCATTACGAGAATTCTGTAATTCAATTGTTAATACGAATCTTACACCTTACTCGTATAAACTCGTTTTAATCGTTTTATAATTTAAAATCATAATGAATCTATAGGACATATCTATGTCAAAAGACATATCTGTATGTGATATTAAATAACAAAAAAAAAAGAAAAATAAAATAAAATAAATTAAACACCCAAATATATATATTACTAGCCCTTAACAAAATTTTTTTACGTGTTACGAGAAATCTCATTGATTCGAAAAGACGAGAACTATTTTGTCAGATTCAACGCTTTTACAAATTAAAAAATAAGAAAAAAATAATAATAATAATAAAATAAAGAAAATGTTTGGGAACCACTGTCACGTATCAACATTTCGAATTATTCAGCAAAAAAAAAAAAAAAAAGAAAAAAGAAAAAGAAAATGAAAATTCTTACTTGGCATTAGTGAGAATTGGTAAAACACTTTGCCAAAGTTGATCGGTGATATGTGGCATTCCAGATAACAAAATACCCCAAAGTTGATGGCCATGTCTCGACAAGAATTTGTGCAAAGCATCGTCAGTTAAATTATCCGAACTGTCAAGGTCCAAAGCAATTAAATTTCGTGGATTGCCAGATTCCACCCATGCCTTTAACACGCTATCATTGAAACCGTTTAATTGGCCGGCACTGAGGAAACGAAGACCAGGTATTCTGGTTAACATGTCGATCAAACATTCAGTTGATATATCCGTAGCTGTTATGTCCAATTCTTGAATACTGGATTTTTCCCATTCTACTTGCATAACGTAATCGCTTTGCAAATCTGTAAACATTATCGATATTGTTATTTAACGATGTTTAATGATTTTGATCAATGAATTCTATCGAAGAAAATATTTATCTTAACTTTTGTTGCAAATTAATTTTAATACACGTTAACACGATCTTTGTATATATTTAATCGAAAATTTAGATTAGGATAGATCATTATAATGATATTGATATTAATAATGTCGATCCTTACTTGTTCCTTGCATTAGAAGACACTTCAATCTTCTGCTACGTTGGAATAGAGTTTTCATGGTTGAACCGGTGACCTTGGCACAAAAATTCACAGCGAGACACTCTAATTGTATACAATTTGAGGAAAATGCATCTATATGGGAATCATCAACGAAATTTATCCCATATAAATTGATCACACGCAAATTCGGCGTCGCCGATTTCAATTTGTGAACGTTTATAACCTCGTAAATTTCTTCCTCTTCTTCCTCAACTTTTTCGTAAGTTCCTGTAATGGCAATTTATCGTCGATTATAAATGAACTTTTTAATCGCGATTTTTTTTTTTTTTTTGTAAATATAGACAAAATGTTTTCTTTTATTTTTAAATGTTTCTGTTAAGACAGTGCGATTTTAAATGTCTTCAATTAATTTTTTTTTTATAAGAAGTTATTTTTATAAAAATAGGAGGATTATTTATTATATATATATAGTTGTTTAATTAGAAAAATGTTGATATGTGACAGTGATTCTCAACTTAAAAAAAAATAAATCTTTTTTTTCTTCCATAAAAGAAGTTACTTTTATAAAAATGGAAGAAGTAATTATAAAATATATATATATATATATATATATATATATATATATATATATATATATTTGTAAATATTGTCTGTGTCAGTAATTTTCAAAGCTTTTTAACAAATTTTTTATAAACATAAGTTGAACATACCAATCAAATGAAGTATTTCCAAACCGTTGATGAAATTATAAATTTTTCTCATGAAACCTTCCATAAATATGACTTCCGAAAGACAGATACACATGTATTTAAGTTTCGTCGGAAATGCTTGCATCTCTGAGAAATCGTGTAATTGCATGGCGGTCGAAAAATCAAGTAGCATGTGAGTTAAATTAGGACACTTGTTTGCTAATTCATGGAGGACGGTGTGAGTGATAAGCTCGATAGGTAACTCGATGTATCGTAAAGATGCACCGAAACGTATGCTATAAATTATTAATTAATTTATTTAATTTAAATATATATATATGTATCAGAAAATAATTAATATCAATAACAACGATATTGATATTAATTATTAATATACTTATGCATTAATAATATTATTAAAAATATTTCATAACAATAATCTTTAATAATAATGATATTTAATAATAGTAATACGAACGTCATATTTATTTAATAATAATAAAAAAATAATAATAATAATAATAATAATAATAATAATAATAATAATAATAATAATAATAATAATAATAAAAACAATAATAATAAAGATACTATATTTATTCATTTAATGATGATAATGATAGTAAAGAAAAGATATTACACATGGAACAGAAATTTAAGCATGTTTCTTCTATTTTCGCACTTGGCATCGTTCAGCAGACAATATTACGTCGGAGACATAAACTGTATATGTATAAAGAAAGGTCGTTTTAATTAACAATATGATGATATTGTTTTACTAACCTTATTAAATGTAATAAACTTTCGAGTGATCCAACATGGAGCCCACTGATTTCCGGTCTTAATGATACGTGTTTCCAAAGGCGCGTGTCGTAAGCGATTTGCCTCCATTTTTTACAAACCCTTGCGACCTTGCATATCTCTCGATGCGACAGATAACTGAAGACATTTAGAATCACCTTGTCCGGTAGTTTTTCTATCGTCTAAGAAGAAAATATTTTACGATGAACAAAATGACAAAAGAGAAGTCATAATTACAAATAAACAATTTGTTGGAATCGTTGAGATAAATTGTAAAGAAAAAGAAAAAGAAAAAGAAAAAAAAAAGAAATAAACATAAAAAATAAATATAAGAAAAAAGTATTAAACAAATAATCGCTAATTTGGAAAATAAAACTTACTAATTTATGCAAAAAAAATTTGCTGATTTACAAAAAAAAAAAATTATTAATTTTTAATTAATAAAAAATAAGTAAAAGTCAAAGCATTAATAATGCGAACAAATAAATGGCTTATTAATCGTTAAAATATCGTCAATATAAACGATCTAATCTAATAAAAATTATTTAACATACGCACCATAGAGAGAAAACGAAAAAAAAAAGGTATATGCGTATATACAATATATACGTAGAGCAACTAAACAAAATTGAGATTTTATTATTTCACCTACGTATCATTTTATATATATATATATTTTATTTTCCTACATAAGAAAAATAAAAAAGAGGACAAAATAAAAAAAAAAAAATAGAAAAAAAATAATGAAAACAGAAATCCAGATCAATTCCAAGAGAAATTTTTAACATGTTCGACAACTTACGGTGGCTGCAAAACGACTCTTAATAACACCACCTTCGGAAACGAACATCTGAGACGTTTCCACAGCGATCTGACCCCATACATCTACACCTCCTAGATCCATGGTGTTATTTTTTCTCGATACGATATCAATACGACAAGTATTTATATATATATATATATATGTGTGTGTATATATATAAAAAAAAAATAAAGAAATAAAAGAAAAAAAAATCCACGAACACAGAGGAAAATTAAAAAATGAAAGAGAAATTAAAAAATAAATAACAAAAATAAAAACCTGACCACGTTCTCACTTATATAAATAAATAAATTCCGAAAAAAGATGAGTACGCTCTTTATGCTTTTTCTTCTTCTTCCTCCTTCTCTTCTTCTTTTCTTCTTTTCTTTTTCTTCTTTTTTGTTTCTTTTTTTTTTCTCAAGTTCAACGTTAATGAAAAACCAAACACTAAATTGCACTTAACGTTCTTAATTCAAGATAGATACTTTTTTTCTGTTTTTATTTCCGCGCGTGTGTATGTATGTTTGTGTGTGTGTATATATGCGTCAATCAGTCTGTCTGTTTGTATGTTTGTTTCTTTAATCGTCGAAACTTTTCGACGCGATCGAAATGAAGAGAGGGGAGAAATGAAAGGAAAAAAAAAAAAGAAATAACAAACGAAAAGATAGAACGAATTTACAATTAAGATTTTATAATTGCGATCGGAGAAAATCGTGACACGAGGCTCGGATTCGCGTTTCGCAGAAGCCACAAGTCTTCTCTCTGCCCTTTTAATCGGATCGCGCATGCGCGTTGTCCTAAATATAAGACTACGTTAGTCTCGCTTACACTTTATTTTAGAATCATTACCTACGCTATCGCCAACGAGCCAGTATTTCTGTTTCGCACATTTGATGATTTTATAATGATGAAGATTGATCACGTGGAAAAAAGCAACAAGAAAAAGAAAAAAAGGAAATAAGAAAAGATCAATTGATCGAATAAATGTTATAAACGATAATTCATATATAAACATTTCGATCGAGGATTTTTATCGACCACTTTTTTTGGTTTCTTTTTTTGTTTTTTTTTTTTCTTTTTCTTTCTTGTATTTTGTTTTTTTTTTTCCTTTTTTTCATTTATATGACTTATTAAGGAGAATCAAAAGAAAAAAAAAGAAAAATATTAATAAAAATGAAAGAAGAATGGAATGAATAAATGCAGGCAAATAAAATGAATCAAAAGAAAGAAAGATTAATGAAAGAAACATCAATTCATCGTTTTATTCAATTATTATAAATTTTAATTTAATTTAAATAATTTAAGAATTATGGAAGAGAGAGAGAGAGAGAGAGAGGGAGAGAGATTAATGAAAAAATTATCTTTATATAAAAAACAATCGAAAATTTTCATTAGTTTTCTCAAAAAAATTAATTGAAATTTTAATTCTTTTCTGAAGTAATTAAAAATTTGTTTAATTAATTGAAAATTATCGTTCAATTATTCTATTCAAATAATTTAATACTCAACTATTTTTGTGTAATAAAAATAATTTGAAATACTATTGCTATTTGTAATAAATAAATAACAAAATTCGATTATTGTTGAAATAAAAATATTTGCTAATTCAATCATTTCATATAAACAATTAAAAATCAAATATAAATTCTCTAATGAGAGTAACTTAAAAAGATAATTAAGTAAATCTTTTTGAATTAATGAAAATCTAATTGGAAATTCAATTATTCTTATATCTATGATAAATGAAAATTCAATTGTCTAATAGAAAATAAATTTTTTTTAAATACAAATATTAAAAAAAAAAAAAATTAAAAACCCAATAATTAGCTCTAATAAATCTAATATTTTTAATAAATCTATTATTTTTATCAATTTATGCCATATAATGATCGTACAAATTTACGAAAAAAAAATGTGAAAATGTTAATTTAATGATTTTTTTTTATAACACACTTTATAATTTGTACATATTTAAATGATCGTAATTCATAAACATGAGATATATCCTATTTTCGATTTTAATTCGATTAATTGTCGATAAATAATTGAGCGTAACGAACGTGAGTTGCTTGAAGAACGTGAGAGAGACAAACAGTTGGCTAGATTTCAACGAATCGTGCCAACTGATTAGAATGTCGAAAATTTAACATTTTAATTAATAATTAATAACAATAATATCTGAATAAATCAAAAATTAATTATATATAAATATATATATATATATATACAATAAATATCTAAATATATATACATATATATATATATATATATATATATATATATATATACAAATTAAATAATATATCTTAATCAAAATAAAAAAGAAATATATTTAAAAAAAATCTATTAAAAATATATTAAAAGTAACAATATTATAAATTAATAATTAATAACAAGTAAAATAACTGGATGAATAAAATAAAATAAAAAAGTGAATAAAATAAAAGAACAATTAATTAAAATAGAAGTCAATTTAAGAAAATAAAATTTATTTATTTGAAATCAAAAAAAAATTTATGTTAAATAAAAAATTTAATAATAAAAGAAAGAAAAGAGTATTAATCGTCGAATAGCTAAGATTGTGATAATAAAACTTGTATAGATATATTTACTGCATGAATGAAAAATTATTAGATGTTACCAAATATTCCTAACTAAGTATATAATCAATTACTCCATTCCGACGTCCTTTAGGCTAATAGATTTTTCATTTTATTTTTTTCTTTTTTTCAAATTGCAAAACTGCAAATTAGGATCGTAAAATTACAAATCTCGAAAAAGGAGTCTTGAGAAAGAGTATTTTTTAAATTATTTAAGAATTTTTGACCCAACTAAGAACTTTTGGCCCAACCTGTATATAGTACGTATAATAAGTACACATGTATATATACATACATACATATATATATATATATATATATATATATAATATTAAATTAGGGGAATCCCTAAAGGTGCACGACGCAATTCATTCATTTGGTTTCCTTATTTACCAGTTCGATTCCAAATAATTTTATATCAATTTTATTATATATATATATATATATGTAATTTTTAATTTTTAATTATATTAATTATTTCTAATTTAGAAATCGAAACTCGTACTTGAAATGATTCGTGGATTTAATTATAAATTTGATTTGAACTTCAAAGAGTCAATTCGTTTAAATTAATTTGAACGATATTGAATACACTTATATACTTAATATAAATATTTATTAATTAAATTGGATACACCATACACTAGTGTATTTGAATTTTTACATAAATATCTAATATTATTTATGAAACTTTCAACTAATTTTGATAATAATTATCTATTATTCATTTTATTGTATTGTATAGCACGAAGAAACTATTTAAAGTTTAACCCTACATATGACCTATTTAAACTTCATTTGAACTTGGCATGAACTTCAAGTAGAGCTTGTTTCTATATATATATATATATATATATATATATATATATAAATATATAATTTATTCTATAACTATAATATAGTACAGTAATAATACACTAATAAAATATAGTATTATAATAATCAAATGTGTTATACTATATAGTAATAATACAGTATTAAAACAGTAATAATATAATATAATATAATCTATAGTATATTAAAAATCTAACGTCTTAAAAAATTAATAATTAATTAAAAATAATAAATTTAATATAAAGAAATTACAAAAAAAAAAAAAAAAAAAATATTAATGAATTTAAAAATAGCAAAAAGAAGTGAAAAAGAAAAAATTTGTTAAAACTTCCAAAATGTTATTATCTTTTCCCTCGTTTTTTTATACCTACAAATACATATATATATATATATATAAATAAATATATATATTTATATATTACAATTTACCTTTATTTTAGCTGATGTTAGATTTCTACGTGTATTATATCCAATTTCTTCTCTCGATATTGCAGTAGTAGCATGTACAACATTTAAATGTGACCAAGTACTCATTATCCTGGACTAATATAATAGTCACTAGAATTATTAGAAGAACTTTGAAATTGTATCAGGTAATAAATAAATGATGAAATAATGTATTATGACCGTAATCGTAACAATGTTTTTAATCGTTTGACCGATCTAGAAGAGAGCAAACTACCAACTGTGAGTCTGACTTTAATTAGTTATAAATAAAGACAAGCTAAAGCATGCTAACCGATGGATGACTCGTGCGCCAGAATAGATAGCTCTCTTATTGACATACTCAGGAGGCATCATCGATGAATACGTTACGTCTCAGTATAAAAGTGGAAGAGAGATAGATAGATAGATAGATAAATAGATAGATAGAGATAGAAAGAGAGAGAGAAAGAAAGAGAAAGAAGGATGTTAAAAGCATGCCGATGAACATCCCAATGTCCCTTGACGAGATCATCAAGGTTGCCAAAAGATGACTCTTACATTCCTCGACAATATCTGTGTGTGTGTGTGTGTGTGTGTGTGTGTATGTGTGTGTATGTATGTTTGGTATTCGTATGATCAAAAAAATTTTATCACCGATCGATAGATCATTTGTCCCTTTTAATCAAACAATGTCAAACATCTTCAAATGTATAAGCGACTAGTGAATGCTTTTTTCTTTTTTTTTATTTTCTTTTTTTATTTTCTTTTTTTTTGTTTTTTCGAAAGTTAACAACTCACAAGCTTTGTGAATCGTTCAAAAGAAGAGAGAAGAAAGAAAAGAAAAGAAGCTAAAAACGTACGAGAAGAAAGTCGAGATGTCAAATTTTTTAACAAAACAAAATATCCTAATAATAATCTAATGGTTCGATAGAACGTCATTATTCATCTATAATTTCATTTCTAATAGAAATATTAAAATGTCCGTGGAAAATGAGGGAGGACAATTTTAATTGTCGAATTACGTAACATCATAAAAAAAAAAAGAAAAAGAAAAAAAAAGGAACATAAAACAATAGCTTCAATGATTTCAAATAAAATCAAACTATTTGATTTTGTTTTTGATTCGATGTTTTTCTAACACAAATCGATTAAAGATTTCACGCGAAATATAATAGAATTTGTTTCTTATATGAAAAATTGTAATATAAATTTTATATTTTCAATTTATATTTAAAATTTATATATTGAAAATATTTTAATAAAAAAAAAAAAAAAAAAAAAATTTTATATTAAAAACTAATCCGATCCTCGACGAGTAATAACGTTTCTCGTTTGATTATGAAAGAAAAGAAAAGAAAAGAAAAGAAAAGAAAAGAAAAGAAAAGAAAAGAAAAAAAAGAGAAAGAAAAAGAGAAATAAAAAAAAACAAAAAAAAAACGAAAAGAAAAGGAAAGAACATTTTTCTTTTAATCATCATCTAATCGTCACAAATCTAAATCGTCTGATAATCATCAACGATTTCATTCAATGATTTCGTTATTAAAATATATAGAATACATTTTAATATAATTTATAATTTGTTTTGTCGATCTCACCGTATTAGAACGTTTGATGATCTTCTCTTTTCCATCCTCCTCGAGACAATTCAGTTGTTGCAGTGCTGCCTCCACGCTTAGGACATTCCAATTGGACATTCTTCGTATATCCATGATGGCACGTATGTATGTATGTTGAACGTTGAAAACGATCAGAGAAACGAGAAGGAAGAAGACACGAAAGTACACAAGAAAACGAACGTATATAAAAGGAATAATAATATATATTGTTAAGATTTTTAATGGAATTTTTTTTTTCTTTTTTAACGTGTCCGTGTATGTATGTGTTTGTGTACGTGTCCTTGTATGTTTGTTTGCTTGTTTGTGTTTGTGTATGTGTGTGTGTGCGTGTGGTTCTATATTTATTTATTTATTTATTTATTTATTTATTTATTTATTTATTTATTATTTTCTTTCTTTTATAGAAAATAATACTTTTGCACAGGACGAACTAAGAAAAAAAAACCAAAAAAAAAAAGAAAGAAAAAAGAAATGGACGATTATGTACGCACATATAACACAGAATTGTAATTTTCAAATGATCGATCGATCGATCGATCGATCGAACGAGAGATCGATCAATCGAAATATTATCACTAATAATTACTCACAACACAAAATTAGTATAACGAACGAAGATGAGTTAAATGATAACAAAATGTATATTACTTTTTGGTCTATATGTGTTCACTTTTATACCGTTGTCTAACAAATTGACTTTTTCTCCGATGTATTTATATAATAAGATAGATATTAGAGTTTATCTTGGAGATGTCAACGATGATGTTTCGTATAAAAACGATACCAAAAAAAGAATATTCCTTTTTCATTGATTTCGTGTCACTCTGATTATAATTCTCGACAATTTTTGTTCGATGATATTTTGACCGGGCACAATTGCATTATATAGTAAATGAAATGTCGAACGTTAAAATGGCCTGATACAATTGATTCTTATCTTTTTTCTGTTTTTTTTCTTTTCTTTTTTTTCTTTTTTTCTTTTTTCTTTTTTCTTTCTTTTCTTTTCTTTTCTTTTTCTCTGCCTTTTCTTTAGTAATCCAAGAAAAAAGATGTTCGCGACTGAACGGAAATGGACCTACTCGGTCATCTTGATGTTAACTCGTACGGATCTAATATAAGTCAGCTTGTATGTTAACCGACAGTCGGAGAGGAGAAAAATGTAACTAAAATAATCTCGAAAGTTTCTCTGCTTCCTCGAAATAGAATTACTGGAGTGGCTGTGGATGCCATGTGGGAGTTGTACGGCCAGTAGAGGGCAATCGCGGCATCATGCAAAAACTATTTCAACGATTTCGAAAACGTTACTTACGATTCGTTCTGCGCTGAGCTTAAATTTGAAAATTTTTTACATACAAATTTTTTCAAACGTTTTCTTTGGCCTTTCTTTTTCTTTTTTTTTCTTTTTTTTTTTTCTTTTTTTTTTTTATAGTAAATAAACGAATAAAATAAAATAGAATTAAATACCGATCAAAAGTTATGTAAATTTTTATTAATTTTACAATTAACGTTTCATGTAAATAATTTATTTTAATGATTTTTATAATTAAATGATTAATCGGAAGAATTAAATGTAATATGTCCTACTACAGGTGGTTAAAACTACTTGTTCGAGAGTCAAACTCGAGTCTTTTGGCTGGTAGCCACTTAGAACTTGATTAATTAGTTCCGCGCATTGCATTAGTGTGTACAAAAAGTACATACTTTCGTACTTTTTTTTATGACCGAGAGATGGAATTACGAATGATTTACCGATGGTCGATAATGAACATTTCTACAAAAGTTGGTAATTGCTTATTCCTCGATCAGGTCATTGTTGAACAGATCGTTTTAATCGATAATAGCAAACTTTATGGATTACAAATCATAAAGCTTAAATACAAAAGTTATAATTAAAAATTTTCCATATCTTTTGCTATATTTCTTATAAAAAATAAATAAATAAATAAAAGAATTAAATCCCAATCAAATTTCTATAAATTTTCATATATTTTTTAAATTAATATATCGTACAGTCTATTTTAATGTCATTTTGATTAAATCGAAAATAAAAAGAATTAATGTCGTATATTATACTGGGGATAAAGTTATAATTGCTTATTCAAGAATCAAATTAGAACTTTTAGCTGATATCCATTTAAAATTTGTTTAATTAATTCTCATGAATTGCACGAGTGTATAGAAGAAATTGAAACGTTCGTATTTTTTCTTCTTTTTTTTTTTTTTTTTTTTTTGTAAACGAGCAATGGAATTACAAATGATTTACCAACGGTCGGTAATAAATATTCCTATAAAAGTTGATAATAGGACCGACCAAATTAATCAAATCATTGTCGAGTTTCATTCGACAAAGGCAAATTGTAATAATGTTAAATACATATGTTAAACATTATTAAATGTTTAAATAACATTCTTTTACACTATAGATTTATAGTTATGTGTTTAGAGATACTTATAAAATATAATATATCGTTTATGATAAATCTCTTTTGTTTTTTAATTGTTTTAGAAATAATCGTATTATCATTTTCTTTGTTTCTTCATTAAATGTACATTTATTCTCAGTAAATGTAAATTTACTATTGTTCAATCATAGTTCATTATTAAAAGAAGAAAATATATATATATAACACAATATATATATATTTATATATATATATGCATATTATATATATATACGCATATATTATATGATTGTTATATATAATTAATATAATATAAATATAAAATATATAATATATAATATACATCCACTTATATATAATTTTTATATATCTTTCTGATAAAATTGTCGATCTCAAAAGGAATAGTCATATTTTTGTTTTCTTATCGATTGTAAATATAATGAAAATAATAAGAGAAAATATATATCGTTATATCGATCATTATAACGATCGATATAATGATAATAATATTGATAATATTTTCCAGATTGATGTTATTCTTTTCTGAAAGAAATATTAAAAAGATTAAGTAAGAGAGAGAGAGAGAGAGAGAGAGAGAGAGAGAGAGAGAGAGAGAGAGAGAAAGAGAGAGAGAGAGAGAGACTTCATCATCGATCATTCGCATGGTCCGTACGGTTTCGATAATTCGCAAAATCTTCGATCGAAAGAAAAAGATCTTATCGAGGAGTTCTTCGAGTGAATGGAGATAAAATTTATCTCCCGATAAATTCGAGCGAGGTAGGAGCATTAGTATAAGAAGAATATATATATATATTAATCTTAAAAAAAGAAGGAACGAGAAAAAAGATTTAATCGAATCGGTTAGGGTTGTCCATTAAGAGACAAAAGTCAGTCGACGTTACCGGGTTACACGACGTTCATTTCGTTAGTTAAACGTTTTCTATATTATTATTTCTATATTATTTATTTTTTTTCTTTTCTTTTTTTCTTTCTTTCTAATTTTTCCCTGACTCCTTTCAATCGAAAAAGTGTCGAAGATATACTACATATATACGACGAGAATAGCCGAACGTGACAACGACAACAGCAACAACAACAACAACAACAACAACAACATCAACATCAACAATAACAACAGTAGGAATAAGATCAGGAAAAGAAGGAGCAGGTGCAGCAACAGCAACAACAGTAGTGTAGTAGTAGCAGCAGCAACAGTAATAGCAGCAGTGTAGCGGCAACAGCAGCGCCTCTCTATCGATCTTTTTCGTAAACGGTCGTAGTATAGTAGGAATAGTAAAGAGACATAAAAGAAGACTCCGTTCTATTCTTTCCCTTTTTTCTACATCACTTATTGCCTTTCCCTTTCCCTCCTATCCTCTCATCTTACACATATACTCGTTCATTCGTTCACTTCCATCTGTCATTTTCTCTCTCTCTCTCTCTCTTTCTCTCTCTCGATCTCTTTCTTCTTAACTCGTGCATTCCCTCGTTTTCTCTCTCTCTCTCTCTCTCTCTCTCTGTTTATATATATATATATATCTTTTGTTCTATTTGCTCTATCTTTCTTTTCTCTCTTTCACACATTCTCTATCTTTCGTCCTCTCTGTCTTTTTCGTTCTGTCCTTCTCTCTCCCTCTATCTCTGTGTCTTTCTCTCTCTCTCTCTCTCTCTCTCTATCTCTCTGTCTTTCTTTCTTTATCGTATACGGAGTGACATGCGCGCAAACATGGCGGATAGTATAAAGGGGCCTGCCTACGGCGCAACACGATCAGTCTAGAACGTGTCTCGTAATGGTGTTCCTTTCTCGTCCACCATTTTAAAACGATTCGCTTATTTTTTTTCCAAGTGTGTCCTCGTGCCAACAACGTTCCTTCCTTTTTTTTTGATCGTCTTCATGTGCTTCATTTCAATTGATCTTCAAAGAAAAATAATTGAAAAAAAGGAGGATAGAGATACATAATATATATATATATACACACACACACACACATATATATATATATTTATACGTATCAGAGAGAGAGAGAAAGAGAGAGAGAAAGAAAGAGAAAGAGAGAAATAAAAAATCTTTCGTTTAAAGGACAGTGACAAAAGAAAGAGAAAGAGAACGACATATGCGCTCAAAAGTGTGAAAGACGAAAACGGTAGGAGAAACGAGCGGGTGTACATGAAAAACAACGTAACGCCGACGATAATCGTCAATCTTTTAGGCTCCTGAAGTCATGAAGTAAAAGAAAAGAGAACAAAAAAAGAACAAAAAAGAACCAAAGGGGACGACTACCAAGTACATATTTCCTTCCTCTTCTCGAGGAGAGACGAGAAAAATATATACGCCGGCCAAGAGGCGCGGCGACGAACTCGGCTCGAAGCGACCGAACTCAGTCCTCAGTGTAGGCTAGTCGGCTCGCTCACGGTGCTAGTGCTTCAAAGGTGCGCGCGAGGGGTTGCAGGTGTTCATTCAAGAACGTTTCTCTCACTCCCACTATTTATTTTCTACCCCCCTTACTCCGCCTCTCTTGTCAACTAATCTTTCTTTCTTTCTTTCTTTCCTTCCTTCTTTCTTTTTATCTTTTTCTTTCTCTCTTTTACATCTCCCTTTGCCCATTTTATCTCTCTCTCTCTCTCTCTCTCTCTCTCTCTCTCTCTCTCTCTCTCTCTCTCTCTCTCTCTCTCTCTCTTTCTCTCTCTCCCTTCAATCTCTTTTGATATAACATAACCTGACTTTCTTACTAACTTACTTTTTTCTCTTTCTTTCCTTTTTTTCTTTTTTCTTTTTTTCTTTCTTTCTTTCTTTCTTTCTTTCTTCCTTTCTCTCTTTCTTTCATTCTTACATATCGTTTTGTACAATTAGTTTTGAAAAATTATTAGAATTATCACATTTTACAGGCGTCCATATTACTTTATTTTTTTTAGGCTTATGTTCCTTGTCCTCTAAAGAAACAGAAAAGTAATATAACAAGAAGAACGAGAAGAACGACGACGGCAAATAAGAATCTTGTGAAATTTTCTTCCACTACCACTTTTACTTCTTATCCTTTTTATTCTTTTTTTCTATTTCTTATTTTATTTCTTCTTCGTATTTTATTTCTTCTTTTTTTTAATTCCACGTCTATTCTACTTTTTTCAATGTTATATCGAGTTAGAAATATCGACTGATGAAATAAGAGTAATTTCTTATACGGTAAAAGAACTTTGATCCTACTGTGATATAATAATAATAATAATAATAATAATAGTAATAGTAATAATAATATTAATAATATAGTTCAAAAAGAGAGAAAGAAATAAATGAATAAATAAAAAGGGAGAGTGGTAATAACACATATACATACATACATACATACATACGTACATATATACATATATATATATACACATACACGTACATACTTATATATATACATATACATACACGCACATACGCCGTCCGAGACGCATTCGCCGGCGGCGATATATATAACAAATATGGCGGTGAACATGTGCGCGCGAAATTGCACCGAGGACACAGCCGGATTCATTTTCAAGATGATCTACGATGATATTTCTCTACCTTGGAACGAATATTCCTATTATATAACTTACAATCCTTGGTTCTTCTCAATACTTGGCAGTACTATGGTTGGTCTTGCTGGTGTATTACCACTTTTAATCATCCCTATTGAAGAAGGCGCTGATCTCAAGAATGGAGGTAATTTTGTTATATTTTTAATTTATTATAATTAACGCATGGACTTTTTTCCTTTTCTTTTTTTCTTCTCGCTTTTTTCCTCCTTTTTTGCTTTTTTTCTTTTTTCTTTTTTTTTTCTTCGTTTTCATTTACGAATGAAAAAAAGCCTTGTTAAAGGGAAGAAACTATTTTGAATTTTCTTCCGATGAAATTATTTGTTTATCGGACGACGAACGCAGCGCCACGTTACGTCATAATCGTAAATATTTACTCAACGCAATAGTTGAGTTTTTTTATTTTCACGTTTCAATGAGAAATTTCGTGCTTCAAAGAGAAATTTTGTACATAATTTTTCGATAAAGATAAGAATGTCATTCGACATTTTTCTTCATTTCTTTTTTTTTTTTTCATTCTTTTTTTTTTTTTTTTTTTTTTTTTTTTTTTATGAAACCGTGAAATAACGAGGAAAAAAAAGTTGTCGAACTTCGTTACAAAGAAATTCTTTTATCGAACGACGAACACAGCGCCACGATTGGTCAGGATCGGAATTAAAAACCGTTAGAATTTGAATGCAACACTTGAAAATCTTTTTATTATACTTTTTTCATTTCAACGAAACTTTTTCGTATTTCTTTCATAAGAATATTGTTATACAAACGTGTGTTTTATCTGCTTTTTTTTTTCTTTTATTATTATTATTACTATTATTATTATTATAATTATTATTATTATTATTATTATTATTATTATTATTATTATTATTATCTTTTCTTTAGTTCAAAGCATCATCAACGTTCTGCTGTTTCATTTTTGTATGAGATATAATTAACGTGCGATGGCATCAACCTTTTATAAATAAAAACTTGTGCAATCGTTCATTAAATTGTCATTTGCACGCGCTTGCAAGACGTTTCATTATGCACTGTTGAACATTTTCACATGTAAATCATCCAAATATAGACTTAAATCTAGAGATTATTGTCTGTATAAAGATAGATAATAATCTTAATAAAATTTATTTTTTTATTTGTTTGATAAAACGATATTTCTCAGCCTATTATTTTTTAACCTAAAAAAAAAAAATTTTTTTTTTTTTTTTTTTTTTTTTCTTAAATATAGGTCGCGAAAGAGTGGGAAATTATTGAATTATAAAATATTTTCAGAAAATTATCTTGTAAAATATTCTTCCGAGTTTACGAGAATAACATGATTAACATAATGGCCGTATCTTTAAAATAATATATGGATATTTAAAAATTTTATATTATAAACATTTGTACTACGATAACATTATGAACAAAGGGCCGCATAATCAAAAACTTTGAGAAACGCTAAGATAAACGGAATGAGATAGCACAAAAGAATATTCTTGAACAAATTAAAATGACGTAATGACGTTCTAAATGACGTAAGGATTTTCGATTAAAAAAAAAAGAAGTATAGACAGACAAAGGGAATGACTATAAATATATATATATATATACACATATTTATATATATATATTTGCCGAACTGTTTGGCATTAGATTTTGGCAAAACTAAGTATCTCCGTCATTGGAAATACGTCGAAATAAATAATACGCATCGTAATTCATTTATAAGTGAGAATAACAATAGAATGTTTCCTTTCTCCGTTCCCCTCCCACCACCACCCTCATAAATTTGATAAAGTATATACGGAGCTTTAATTTCAATTTGTCTTTAACATTTTCAAAACAATAAACTCGTTAAATTTTTATATCAAATATTTTCTACTCTTAAATGATTGTAGCCGGAATGTACATACATATCTCCGTTCGTATTGATTTTATGAATAAATGTTTCAAATAAAAAAGATTTGCTAAGTTTTAACGTGGGGAAAAAGTGTAACATTTATCCCAGCTTTATATCTCACAGAGAGGGAGAGAGAGAGAGAGAGAGAGAGAGAGAGAGAAAGAGAGAGAGACTGTATTTTTTTCTCTCTTTTTTTTTTCGTTCATACATTTTTGATGTGATTATTTTTTTTTCCCTTTTTTTTTCAATTCCTGGAGCTTTGAACCGTTGAATATTTTTCAAATTATTCTCGATGTATATAAGCCGATATGGAAAAATTAAAAAATAAAAAAATGGCTTAAATTAATTCAATGAATGTTCGAAAACATTACCGTACTCACGAATAATGATGCATATTTAAAAAAAAAAAAAAAAAAGAACGTCGAATAGATAACAAATCGTGAAAAATATTTGAACAAATTGCATCGCTTCATCGTATTCTTCTCACGTGTGAAACTTATGGTTGTACGAACGGACAATATTTCGAATTATTTCTCAAAGATAAAAATCTGAAATCGTGTGGTGGTCGTGCAATTGGGTCGACTTCAAAGTCAAATGTATCGGTCAAAATAAGCATTAATCAAAATAATGAATTGATGAATATCAATGTCGTCCATCGAATTGGACAACTCATATTTGTAAATGAGACAAACGAAAAAAGAAAAAGAACCAGAAAAGTTGAAATAAATGATGAAATGAATCCTCCAAAAGATAATTACGGCTCGTCGTTAAAAACAATTATTATAACAATAGCATTGAACTGTATTTCGTACTTCAGTAATCGTAAACAATGTGATTGCACGATTGATTAAACATCAAAGCTCCTTAACTCGATAAAATATCGATGATATATATTCGTTGGATATTTTCAACAATTGTTTTATTAAAAATTTCTACGATCTGTCGTATGTTGATAACAATAACGATCATCCTTCGAAATAACTTCGATAAATATTACATTTATCCCATTGAAAATCTATAATAATCTATTTATATGAATCATTTGTTTATAAAAACAATAAGATCGGAGATATATTCGGCTGGTATCATTTAAAATATTACATATGAATATAAATAAGGATATAAATTCGTTATTAATTTAAGTATATTATATATATATATTTTTTTTCTCGAATTAATAAATAATATACAATAATGTATATACAAATATTATATATTATTTTCTATTCAAAATTCTTGCCTCGCGGGCCATGATTATTTACGCATTGAGAAATCCAAATTCTATTAGCAGGAGTATGTTTTTGTTCTCTCGCAAATTCTGACGTAAGCAATTCTTAGGATCAAGCTCACTGAACGTGTTGTGTGGTGGTGGTGGAATGTTGTGTAGCCCAGCATATCATTCTCTATCTTTTTTATCTCAAAAGAAAAGTTTTGCAATCGATGTTGTCGACAACGAAGTTTCCTGTAATCTGATTTCACTTGAAATACATTAATCGTAAATAACGATAACGCCGAATTAAAATGATTTCGCTTTCGATCGAAATAATATCGTTTTTGTCTGTGAATTTTTCTTCATCATTTTTTATTTTCCCTTTTCTTTTTTTCTTTTTCTGTTTATTTTTAACTCTATAACTCCATCATAAAACTTTAAAGTCATAGACTATATATATAGATATATATAAAAGTTTTTTTTTATACATATTATTGTCAAACAAATCTAATCGTTTTTTTATGTTCGCTTTTTTAATGTTTATTTTTATTTTTTCTCCTATTTTTATTACTCCTGTCATTATTATTATTATTATTGTTATTATTATAATAAACAAGTTAGATTCTTCTTAATGATTATACAGGGTGGGCTGAAAGTTTCTAGAAGAATCAAAAGTTCCTAGCTAAACTAAAAATTCCTTCAGGCTAATATTCCTTTTCTTTTTTTTTTTTTTTTTTTTTTTTTTTTCAAATTGTAAAAAAGTTCTCAGGAGCTTTAGAAAAAGAGTAATAGATTTAAAAAAAAAAAGAAAAAAAAAATTTCTAAATTTTTGACACAATTTGTATATGTATAACTGATATTATAGTTTTTACGTTTTATTTAACACGTTTGATGTATGGTTCATCATTCGAATTCTGTTATTTCTAGTGAAAGTTTCTACGCTAGAAGATTATTCTATTTAATCGATACTTGGAAACATGATTGCGTTCTTTACGTCGAGAAATTTAAACTGCGCAGAAACGATATTTCGCTAATACAATTCGTATGCCAAGTAGCATACACGCGCGGGCACTCGCGCGCGCGCGCACGTATACATACATACAGTATATATGTATGATATATATGTATGATATACAATGTTTGAAATTTTTGTACAATTATTTAATATTATATGTAAAACTAAATATTTATTTTTACGATATTTTATTATTTACATTCGCAATAACAATTAGCAATTTTTCTTGTTTCTTTTTCCTTTTTTGCTCTATCAGTGTAATACTTAAATATGAAACTTTTATTATTATTATTTTATCGTGTATACAATTAAATATTAATTTATTATAATGCAATATTTTATTATTTACTTCTGCAATAATATTTTCTTTTTTTTTCTTTTTTTATCACGGTATATTATATTTAGATACGAGATAATGTTTGTGACTTTCGTATAATAATTTTATCATGTATGAAATTAAATATTAATTTGTACAATATAATTTTATTTAAGTAGACGATAATAAATCATTAAATTATTTTATTTTTTTCTTTATCCGAGCGTTTAGATATCGATTTGTCAAAAATATCATACTTTGTTATTAATCCGCTATTATTACATCAATTATTTTCAGAGTATTATATATCAAGGTAGACATTTTTATTTTATTTTATTTTATTTTATTTTATTTTATTTTATTTTACTTTATTTTATTTATTTATTTGCCTTTTTTTTTTTTTTTTTTTTTTTGTAGACAACGTGAGTTTCAGATAAAGTCATCTAAATTGTCAACTTGCTTGCATCTTATTTAGCTTGTCATCTTGTTCGAAGATGGTTAGTTCTGTTTGTTATGTATTTAATAAAGACGGAATAACGGAGGTATAGAAGCAACGTCATAAGTAGAAACAGAGATAGATAGAGGAGATAGCAATAGAGAAGATAGAGATAAAGATAGAGATAGAGATAGAGATAGAGATAGAGATAGAGATAAAGATAGAGATAGAGATAAAAACAGACAAATAATAAATAAGTGTTATGGGATAC